CTCGCTTGCAACTCGCTTCCTTTCCTTAGCAGTTTAATTTTATAGAAGTTGTTTGGCCTTCTTTTCGCAAAATGGTCATATTGGTAGGAAAACTTATAGGAACGCACCTAGTCCGAAGTCCATTGTCTGCATGATCATTTCCAAAGGTGAACCGTGGACGTGGTACATTCCCAAACATTTCGCCGGCATCGTCTGAGTATCGCCATTTTTAGCACCATAAAACAACTCGTCAAAGAGAGAAGGGAAGCCGATCCTTTGACGAAACGTGTGCTAAAAACTTGTGGTATCTTACCTTCTGCCCTGGGTTATTCGCGTTTCCGGTATCATCATATCATGCTTTTACTATTACAATTTTTACCGTGTTTATTTCGATATAATGTGGTGTGCTCCTTTGAGCGTCATGAAATCTTCACACTCCAACTGTCGTTCTTTCCACCCTTTCATCCTTGTGCAGGTAATGTTGATCAGAGTCTGCTTTATTATTATGCTGTCCTCTTTCCTAGTCTTATCCCAGTCTCTCGCTCTGTGAAATCCGTCTGCTCTACCCCTTGCTCACCTATTTCACTCGACTCCTGCCACCACATTTGTCCTACTCGAGGTGCTATTCGCTCTCTCCTGTGTCTGGGTGGATAATTCGAGGCGCGAGCTTCTGAGTGTCATGGTCACCCTTTTGGCTACATATACAACGTCTCTGGTACAACAGACTTACCGTCAGCCAACAAGTTCCGGTCCCCGCCGTCTCTATTCTGTTTCTATCCCTAATACCAAGTCTATGATTTGCCATGCCATAGTCTCTTGTGTGCCAACTCACAAGTGTTGTGGTTCATCATTGAACCAAATCAAAACAAGCTGTACCACAACATTTGTGGGTTGGCACACAAGAGACTAGGGTATGGCAAATCATAGACTTGGTATTAGGGATAGAAACAGGATAGAGACGGCGGGGACCGGAGATAGTTAGCTGACGGTAGGTCTGTTGTACCAGAGACGTGGTACATGTAGCAAAGGGGTGGCCATGACACTCAGAGTCTTTCGCTTCGAATTCGTTACTTAGACGCAGGGGTGGGCGAATAGCGCCTCGAGTAGGACAGATGTGGTGGCATGAGTCGAGTGAAATAGGTGAACAAGGAGTAGAGCAGACGGATTTTACAGGGCAAGAGAGAGTCTGAGATAAGACTAGGAAAGAGGACTGCATAATAATAAAGCAGACTGATCGAAATTCCCTGCACAAGGATGAAAAGGGGGAGGGGAGAACGACAGTTCGAGTTTGAAGGTTTCATGTCGCTCAAAGGAGCACACCACACTACATCAAAATAAACACGGTAAAAATTGTAAGTGAAGGCATGATAGGATGCTACCGGAAACGCGAATAGTCCAGCGCAGAAGAGGAGTACCACAAGTGGTTTGGTTAAAGGATCGGCTTCACTTGTCCCTTTGACGAGTTGTTATATGGTGCTAAGAATGGCGATACTCATTGACGATGCCAGCGAAACGTTTGAGAATGTACCACTTCCACCTTTTAACTTTGCAAATGATCATGCAGACAATAGACTCCGGACTAGGTGCGTTCCTCTAAGTCTTCCTACAAATATGACCATGTTGGGCAAACAAGGTCAAGCAACGAAAGGAGGCTGAGACCACACAAAATGCCACACCATCTTAGTCTTCATACCTTTAATTTAATTTTATGTTGATTATCGAAATGTGTCATTTCTACTAGTGCATTTTATCAGATTATTTGTACTAATTATTTATTGTTGGTATTATATTAAATTAGTTTGGAGCATTTATAGTCATATTTCACCGCTTCTAACTGTTTTCATTTTCTTGGCCCTTAACTGATCTAAATCTCGTGTTTTAGTCCTTATGATTTATTTTACTCGTCACTAATTTTTTTATCTCTTTTATACCCAGCTTTACTCACTCAACACATTCCTTATCACTTCCTTTGAGGATCCCTTCACGACGAGTGATGGCTGTGACTGGATCAAGCTTGACACCTCGAAATGTGGTAAGCATTATTTATTCTGGTTACTTCTACACTACATATTTCAACTTTGATAATTGTCGAATAAATCTTAGGTCAAATTAACTTCACATATCGACCTTTGATCCTATACATATTAAACTTTTAGCCTAAATTATCATTCGTAGGTATGAAGACTGAGATGGTGTGGCCTTTTTTGGTCGCAGTCTCTTTTAGCCGTATAATGTTGGTTCGGGCTTGTTCTCGCAACTTGGTCTTAGCGTCAGAGAGACCTTGTGTAAAGTACTCCGTTCTGTGTCCTCTGTCCTAGTATTCGTGATTTCCAGCTCCGGACCATTGACTTGGCATCTTCCCAAACGCTTCACCGGCATTGTCCTTGAGAGGCGTTATCCTTAGCAATTAGTTACAACTTAGAAGTAACATGTGAAGGCGATCCCTTTAACCAATACTTTGTTCAACCGCTGTTGCATCAGTCTTCGCCCCTATTTTTTGTCTACTTTTTACTGCTGCTACTCATTTTCTCAAACCCCAATTCATATAAGCCATTACTCACTCACACAATTTTGTGTTCTCATTTTTTCTAATGTCACCTAAGACTGCGTCGCTACAAGTGGGTTTGGTAAGGCGTAATCATCTCCACCTCCGGTACCAGGTGGCTTTTGCAGGGCTCCTACCTACATTCTGTCCCACCTTTCTCCTACCCTCTTTTAGGCAGTATTGGAGGAAACGAGAGCACAAAATTGTGTCAATAGGTAGATGGGCCACATGAAATAGGGTCGATATAAAGATATGCGTCACTAGAAGGTAGAACGAAAAATAGGGGTGAGAAGGGATGACACAACAATTGAACAGAAAAATTATTAGATGAATTACCTTCGCTTGTCACCTTAATACGTTGTAACCCTGTGCTAACGATGGCGCCTCTCAGTGACGATGCCGGCAAAACGTTTGGGAATATAATAAGTCAATGGTCCGAAGCTGGACATCGCGAATACTATGATATATGACACAGGAGTAGGTACGTTCCACTTGGTCTTCTTGATGCTGTGGCCAAGTTGCGAAAACAAGGTCGAACCAACACTAAATGATCATTGCTTTTTCTCCTCTTTCCCATGCATTAGAATAATACAGTTATTGAGATGTGAAGATTTATTTCCACTAATTATAGAATCTAGATATCAAACTATCCCCTAGTATCTTGGCTAGCTTCTTAAATGTCCATAAACCTCTATTTTAATTTAAAATTTTTTTTATTTGTACAAACCTTTTTTTCTTTCAGACTCTTTTACGCCAATTCTGCCGCAAATTTGGTGCTGTTGAGCACGCCAGGTTTCAGCCCGGGGAGACAACTCACATTGTAATGAACGAAGAATCTGGTGAGTTGTTCCATTCTTATACGTAATCCCACTAGTCTGCTAAAACATAAATTTTCTTAACTAAATGCTTTAATGTCGAATGTCGAACAAACTTTTTCTACGGATTTCCGTCACAACTGGCTTAAATTCTTGCACTTCGTTTTTTTCTACTTGAGGAATATTATATCAAATTGTTTATTATGTAAATAGTAAAAATGCGATTTATTCAACTTGTCAGTTATTCTTTTACGGGCTAAATTTTTTGAGGAGTTCTGTGACCTTATTTTCGCAACTTGGTCTTATTTGCATTAAGACTTAGAGGAGCACACCTAATCTGGAGTCTATTGTATGCATGGTCGTTTTAAGAGTCGGACTGTGGACATGGTACGCGCCCATTCCTTTCGCCAAAATCATAGTCGGCATCGTCAATGAGTCTTACCAATCTTAACACCACACTACAACTCGTCAAAGAGACAAGTAAAGCCGATCCTTTGACCAAATGTCTGCTAAACAGTTGTAGTACCCTCCTGTCATGGGCTATTCTTCACGCCTTCATTATCACAATTTTTACTTGCTTATTTAAATGCGGTATAGTGTACACTTTTGCGCAGCTTTCATTAGAACCCTACACACTCCACACTAGCTTTCTCACCCCCATTCACCCTTATGGTGGGAATGTTGATCAGAGTCTGCCATATTGCCACGCAGTCCTCCTTACATAGGTCCTATCAGGATCCGTCTGCCGTCTCCCTGGTTTAAGTATTTCACTCTACTCCTGCCACCCTATCTGTGCTAGTCGAAGCGTTATTTCCCACATTCTGCGTCTGGGAGACTAACAGGAGGCTAAAGCCCCTGAGTAATTCTCATGGTCAAGCCTTTGCTACATGAGACCACCTCTATCGTAAAACAGCCCTACTGTCAGCCAACTAGCTCTATTCTCCGCCGTGTCTATCCTATTTCTAACCTTAATACCAAGTCTATGACCTCCTATGCTCTAGTCGCTTGTGTGCCAACCCACAGATGTTATGGTACTGCTTGCTTTGATAAGGTTCAATTACGAACCACAACGTTTGTGGCTTGGCACAAAAGAGACTAGGGCATAAGACATCATAGACTTGGTATTAGGGACAGAAACAGGATAGACGCGGCGACCAGAGATAGTCGGATGACTGTTTTACCATAGACGTGGTCCATGAAACAAAGGCTTGACCATGAAAATTACTCGCGGCATTTAGCCTCGCGTTAGTCTTCCAGACGCAGAATTTGTGATATTATGCCTCGAGTAGCAGAGATGTGGTGACAGGGCTCGGTTGAAATACTTGAATTAAGGGGATAGTAGACGAATCGCATGGGCAATAGGATGACTGATAAGACCTAGGAGAGGAATTCATAGACTTTTATTACGGATAGAAACAGAATAGGCGCGGCGGCGACTAGAGCTAGTCGGCTGACAGCAGGCCTGTTTTTCCGTAGACGTGGTCAATGCAGCAAAGGCTTGACCATGAGACTTACGCAGTGGCTTTAGCCTCGAATTACTTACTCAGACGCAAAATGTAGGAAATAACGCCTCGAGTAGCGCAGATTGGGTGGCAGAGGTCGAGTGAAATGCTTGAACCAGGGCGATAGCAGACGGATTCTACGGGGCAAAAGGGAAACTGTGATAAGACCTAGGGAAGGAGGACGGTGTGACAATATGACAGACTGATCCACATTCCCAGCACAAGGGTGAGGGTAAGGCAATGTTGAGAGCTCTCATGTAAGCCTTTCAAAATGGCAGACTATGCCACATTTAAACAAGCAAGTAAAATTGTGATAGTGAGGGCGTGATATGAAGATATAGGATTGAGGATTAAGGACACTATAACTGTTTAGCACACATTTGTTCAAAGAATCGGCTCCACCTGTCCCTTTTGACGAGTTATGGTGTAGTGCTAGCACTGGCAAGAGTCATTGACACTGCCGACTCAGATACGGGTGAAAAATCTGGGAATGTATCACGTTCATAGTCATGATTAGGAAATTATCATAGATACAATGGTCTCTGTACTAGTTGCGTTCCTCGAGATTTTCCTACCAATATGACCAAATTGCGAAAACAAGTTCAAACAACTTCCACACAAAGGAGGCTGAAACCGTACAAAAGACCACATCATCCTGCTATTTATACCTTTTATTAAATTTTTTTAAATTGACTATTTAGATTGTGTATTTCAGAATTTGTCTAATGTTGCTTCTTTCGCAATGTCAACTTTATTAGGATATATGACTAGTTATATTTTCAGTTATTTCTTTCCTAAAGTTCAGCTGGACAAGTCCAAGAATTTATCATAACGGCAGTAACCGCATAACTTCCTATTTTTTACCTTCATCTATGACAAACTACGTCGTATCATATATTGAGATTTTGAAATAATTACGTTTTAAGATTTTCGTCTGATAGCTTTCTGTTTGAACTTCCTTCTGGCACCAGGAGGGAATGTTGACATGAATTATCTGTTACGTGCAGCCGAAAAGGATAATGAGGTTAAATTTGCCTTTAAATGCTTCACGTGATTGAAAATCCTTAATATTTGAAGAGGCGAGAGGAAAGGATTCATAAGTTGCTTCCACCGAGGCTGGGGGGGGTTGCCTTGGAGCTGTGGCTGTAGATTGTTTGATAATAGGTCCTCGGTGCACCGCCCTACGACCACGAAATGAACGTTATTCTAACATCAATCTATTAAGAGATTCTTCAAAACCCAGTTATTCTACATCTTTTATATTTGTTTTATGTATTCAATATTTGCAAAGTCGATTGGAGCAGAACGGATAATTTCGCTCATTACGATTATTCTGCGCCAAATTTTAATATATGAACACCTCTTCTCTCTTCTCTTATTTAAACTTCTTAACTCTTTAGTTCATATGGTTTAAGTGTTGGTTTGACCTCGTTTACACATTTTGGCCAGGGCAACAGTTAGACCTTATGGAACATATTTAGGTCTGCGTCATCTGCCACAGTACTCATGATTTTCAGCATCGGTCCATTGACTTGTACATCCCCAGATGCTTCACCGGCATCGTCAGTCATCGCTAGCACAGAGTTTCGACTCATCTATGTGACAAATTAAGACGATCCCCTTGATTCATTTTCTCTTCCACCGTTGTAGCATCACTAGTCGCCTCTATTTTTTGTCTCACATTATAGTGCTAAATTTTTTCCTCCCATCTCATCTTCATAGAGCTCACCATCCTATGCTCTCGTTTTCTCCTGTCAGCTAAGAGTATGTCGCTTCAAGAGGATTTAGTTGAGTATAATTTCCTTTAATCTAAATTATGCAGACCAAGGTGGTGTGGTCTTTAGTATGGTCACGTTCTCTTTGAGTTGGATACAAGTTGTTTGACTCTATTTTTGCAATTTGCTCATATTGGGAGAAAGACTTAGATGAAGGCACTTTTTCCGGAGTCCATACAA